AGTGTCCTAATTACAATCAGAAATAAGGTACACGTGTGCGCGTGCGTGTGTACGTGCACACACATACGTTCAGCATAGTAGAGCCTCCCCAGGAAAAACAATGATTAAGGATGAGGTGCATCATCCCTCCAACTTGGAGGTAAAACTTAATGGCAAATAGTGTCTCCTAGGAAGAAAAGCACCTACCACTGTCTGTGGGTTCTGCCCTGGGCGACAGCAAACCCTTCCCTGTGCTTACACCGCTCAGAACGCCCCAGTCACCTGTGCTATCTGCACCTGGATCGCCGGCGCAATATTTTAAATCTTGGTTTCCTTTCTCCTCCCTGGTTAGCAAGTTCCCAAGCCACATCTCGAGAGCTTGGGGTGCTCAGAGAACACGCATTTTAACACCATATCTGAGCTAAGCCCCATTAGAAAGAAAAGACAACGTGCTTCCCTCCCCAACTGCAGCAGGTCGTGCATTGCAAATGAAAATGAAGCATCCTTTCTTTAAAAAACAAAACCAAAAAAAAAAAACCCATGCTCTTTGGCACTCCGCCTTCCCTGCTCCCTCCGGTAATGTTTTCACTTTATCATCAAAGAGCCTGGCAGGAAATCCTTCTGTCCAGGTGCGCCCCAGCGCTGCGGACTGTTAAGAAAGAAGCAGGCAGAAACTTTACCGTTCAGCGGGGCTGGGCTGGAAGGCTGCTCCTTTAAGATCAGCAGCAGGAGGACGGTCGCCGCGTGCAGGCTGCCCGGGGGCATCTCGGGCGTCCGTGGGCTCCTCGCTGCCTGTCGCTGTCCCGTGCGCTCCGCCCAGGTGCCCGGGCTAGCAAGTCGGCTCTTCAGACTCATGGCTCCCCCGGGGTGCTTTTATGGAGCGACTCAGCCCCAAACACGTGATGTCATCGTGCAGGGGGAAGAACGCCCTGCCTACCGGAGGGCTGGAGCCCCGGTTCCAAGGTGAGTTGCAGCCCTGACTTGAGCCATGCTCTGTGCGCCCCGGCGCTCCTCAGGGCCCAGACTGACCTGGGAACCCACTTCTCCGTGGGAGCTGCCGGCAGGCGTGGGGGACATCCGCCTGCCTCGGCCCCATTCCAAGGGTGTGTCTAGAGATCCCTTCGGTGGCCATGGCCTTGGTCCTTCCCTGACCCTACTCAGAATCCCCCAAGTACAATGCCATATAGGCAAAAGCCTCCTTCGGGGACCCAGTCCTGTGCCTGCCCAGAGTGGGCATGGGTTAGAGGCTGCATTCAAATTCAGAATTTCTGGGAATCGTACAGTGCATCCTGATTAGGTTCTAACCTTCGGAGTTTAGACGCAAAGAAATTACTTGAGAATAGGAAAACAGCACAGTGGGGTGCCTGCGAACAGCTTATTAGGGTTTCCCCTAGTAACAGTAAGTAGACAAGGATCATGCTAGCTCATAACGTCAATCCGTCCTCACTAGGAAGCTGGGGGAGAGGCTCCCTCCTCTGGGGTGGTAGCAGAAGAAAGAGACTTCCATTATTTACTGAGCACTGGTATATATCAGGCACTTTTTCAAGGCTCAGAACACAATACCCGAAGTATGGCACCTGGGCATGCTGAGTACTTTGAACTGAGGGACATTGGAAAGGCCTCAGAACAAAGGTCTATGGCCTTCCCCTGTCCTCCCATCTCCTGCTCCCACTCCTTCTACCCCTAAAACAGTCAAAGAAACCAGAATTCCTCTTCCTCAAGGCGGGTCTAGAGGAAGAACTAGAACACTTCTTCCCCAAAGAAAGCCATAGAACCTAGAAAGGTCACTCTCTCCCTTGGCCCTTGAAGACCCTTTTTCCAGAGGGTCCTGCCTCATACCTGGGCAGAAGGGCTGCTACACAGAGAGGCCAAGAGGAATCTGAGCCACCAGGAAGCAGGCGCCCCCCATATTTCAAGCAGTGTTTCTGTTTTGCCCCTACTGGCTCAGCTATTGTGTGGGTGAATAAAGGACTTTGAAGTCTTATTAAGGAAGTTATTATAAAGGCAATCTTGTTACAAGCACTTCCAGACCACAGTAGGCTTAAGAATGACCTTTTCTGCCTGATAAAGAACCTCGAGTGGGCTCTGAAGTGGTGAAGGAGTGTTCCTGTTGTTCTGACTTGTCATCAAGGGCGGTCTGTTTAGAAGACGAAATGGACTAGAGGAACACAAGAGCTTGGGGACGAGCCACTGCAGGTTCAAAGACGCAGATACTGAGCACATGGCGCTCCCCACGTCTCACAGCTTGTCAAAGGGAGACTGGGCCACGTGCACACATTTCGTTACCCCCACTCCAGTGTTTTCCCACTGTCCTACGTCTGTCTAAACAGTGAGTTCAATTGCTTCTTGAACATGCTCCTCTAAGTGTTCTCCATGGATCCCTAGAGATGGGGAGTTTAAAAAGGGGTAGAGGGGTGGACTCAATAGACCAGTAAGGCTAGAATGTGAACTGGTTTCATAGAAGGAAAGAAGAGGGCTGAGATGTTTACTGCATGTCTATATCAGAAACCTGGTTAATTAGTAAAGAATAGGTAGCAATTAAAAGGAAATTAAGAATATAAACTGAGAAACAATTGCCTTAAGTGTTTGAGTGAAATTATCATTATTATTATTATTGTCATTGTTTTTAGGGGATCAGAGTGGAAAAAACAAACAGAAATGGGTGGAATGACCAAAAGTATTCAAGCTGAATGTCAAGGGTCCCCAACAAACAACACAGACCTAACCAGTTTAAGCTCCCAACTCTGGAAATCCTCTCCTTGCTGCCTGGGGCTCGTGTGGATTATCACGTAAGGGCTTGCTTTGCCATCATCCAGCAGGGCTGTCGTCAGCCAATAAATAACCCATTGCTCAATGAGTTAGGGTGGAAAGTGGGTCTTCTGCACTCAAAATGTGGCAACTAGCCACCAAATGACACACCCAGACAGAGGCTCCAGGGAAAGGGCCTTCTAGAATGTTACCATCTGAATAGACATGAGGGTGAGGCTGCTGAGTCAAAGGGCAGGAAAGAACTGGGATTTGGTATCAGGAAGTCTGAGCTGGAGTGCCTGCCCTGCCACTTACTCACTGGATGACCTTGGCAATGGCGCAAGCTTCCCTCCTCTGTAAAGAGAAAGTGGTGATCCCAGCCCCTGGATCACAACAGAATTGATATATGGCTGGAAGGAGATAAGGCAAGTGGAAACTTTTCTGTTCATTCATTCATTCATTTTCTGTGTGCCAGGCACTGTGCTAGGCTCTTAGTGCACAAACATAAAACAAATATTCTCATGAATTAACTATATAATTACAATTGTAATAAGTGCAATGGAAGGTTGACATATAACCAGAAGGGGCCCATTCTTGTCCTGGGGCAGTGAGGGAAGACATCATTAGTGTAAGTATGACTTCAGAAAACCTTGGAAATGCACAGCTCATACCAGGCTCTTCTTTCCCAAGCCTGGTGCCATTTGGTGGTATCTGTCCCGACATAGCTAATCCTTAGACTTTCAGGCATAAAGGTTAAGTAAGGTATAAAGAATTTTATTTTTTAAGGTAAGAATTAACTCTTCAAATAGTGTCACTCAGTTGGGAATGGACCTTTATATGGAGCTAAAGAAAAGACTTCTGGGAGAAAACAAACATTTATTGAGCACCTGCTATTTGCCTGGCACTGTCCTTTGTACTTGCTTCTCATGACAACCTGTAGGGATAGTGTTAAGTTTACCATTTTACGGATGAGGAATCTGAGGCTTGGAGAAGTTAAATCTTTTCCTAACACAAGTTCATGTGGAGCCCAGACAATTCTCTGCCTCTAAGACCCAGGCAGGCTCTTTCCACGGCTGTTCTACCAATGCTTCAGATGGGGACGTTTTATTACTGGATCTCTCTGAGATGTGGATTTTCCAGTTTTCTAGATGCTGTGATCCTTTATTTGTTGATCAGAGACACACCGTGCCAATCCTGGCAATCAGATAACGCTCAGCAGAGGACATGGCTATACTCTCCTCCCCAAGCCCCACGGGGTTACTGAGGGACCCTGCACTCTGATCAATGCAGAGAGCATCTGCCACAAGGAGACCTCCGAGCTTTGATTCGACACAGTTCTCGAGCAAAGGAGGAGAATGTGAGGCCTACCACCTAGGTCCTTGTTATATTAATCAGCTCTGCTTTGACCAAGGTAAGGGGAAAAGGGAGGACAGGGGAGGAAGGAAGGAAAAGGCCAAGCGATATCCATTGACGAGGCAGTAGCTGAGGCAACCTCTAGGCTAAACCTTGCATGGGCCCATGGATCTGGGTATAAATGTCCAGTCTTTGAAAATATAGTCAGTTTTGTAATTTGATTCATATCTGCTTCTCCTTCACAGCGATGGCATTGAGTCATAACCTCTGCATGAACCCTAGCTACCCTGCTTAGTTTCAGGCAAGATCAGTTGGAGGACAGTGTGGCCCAGAGGAAAGAATGCCAGACTCCCAGCTCTGCCAGGAACCAGCCCTGAGACATCGCTTAGCAAGCCTCTTGCCCTGTGCATGCCCCGTTTTCTGATCTGGAAGTCGGAATAAGAATGTCCGACCCCACAGAGGGCTGTGTGGGGGATGAGGCCACATATATGAAAGTGATTTGGGGGAAAAAAAACCAGCACTTGACTTACATAAGATGTCACTCCTAAGAGCAGGCTTGAAACAAAAGAAAGGAAGTGTGTTTGATCTCAGCCTTGGTTTACTAATTTGAGAAAACGGGCCGGCTGCGATGGTTCATGCTTGTAATCCTAGCACTCTAGGAGGCCAAGGCAGGAGGATTGCTTGAGCCTGGGAGTTCGAGACCAGCCTGAGCAATAGTGAGACCATGTCTCTAAAAGGAAATTTAAAAATTAGCTGGCCATGGTGGTACACATTTGTAGTCCCAGCTATTCTGGAGGCTGAGGCAGGAGGATCGCTTGAGCCCAGGAGTCGGAGGCTGCAGTGAGCTATGATGACGCCACAGCACTCTAGCCCGGGCAAGAGCCTATCTCAAAAAAACAAAAACAAAAACAAAACAAAAAAAAGGTGAAGTAAACGATGGTGTGATAGTTTTACCTCTTTCCTCTTTCCAGGTAAATTATTAGGAACATCACGGGTACCTGACACCAGGACACTTAGGAGATATAATTAGACTATAATAGCTAAGGTTTCTCACAGCCATCTCTCTTTTCACACCTGCTGGTTGGATCTACTCACCTCTAACCTCAGGGGTTTGGTCCATATCCTGTTCTTGTTCTCAGTCTGAAGCACTGTCCTCTCTCACCCCTGTCTTTGCACTCACAGGCCACATTCCAGCAAGCTCACAAGTACCAACTCCAACTGAATAGTCCTGATACCAAACCTGGCAACTTCCGCCCAGTCAGGTAGGCAGAATGCTATAGGGGGAAGAGTTTTGGCATTGTGTGAAACCTGGGTTTTGAAACTCAACTCCACCACTCATTGCCCTGTGTGACTTTGGGCAAATCACTTAACCTCTCAGAGTCTCAGTTTCCTCCTGGTTAAAGGGATGAGGGCCATAGAGTAAGTCTACCCACAAAGGGAGGTAAGCAGGAATAAATCTAATAAGCTGGGCATGTGAAGATCTTAGCACGGTGGCACATAATGAGCTCTGTGTAAACAGTAGTCTTCTGTGAAGGGTCCTGACTGGCTGGGGGTGCTATTTTCCCCCGAAGTTCCAACCCTGGTTTGGGCAACCCCACCAACTTCCATGAACCATCAGGGAAGAAAGAGTGTAGATTTCCAGATAGCACTTCCCCCCATAATTC